ATGTCATCTCGTTTGTCTGTCCTCGCCCTGTCCTCCTCCCTCCTGGCATATTGTCGCTCTGTGCTGCGATCTGTGGAAGCCCAGGCAGGAGCTTGATCCTCACAGCTGCATCAAACACTGAGGCAAACGACCCTCTGCAGCACGGGAGGGCAGCGCGCAGACTTTGATGCACAGACACACACACACGCCTACAGCGCACACAGAGCGACGTAAGTCGCTGCCTGAGATCTCGTCCCTCCCAGCAGCTGCTAACGGTCCACTTCCGCCTTTAACCCCGCCTGAGGCCGGAGCCTTACTTTGGGGTGCTAATGATCTCTGAGCTTCATCCCCCTCCCCTCCTTCCATTTATCAATGGGGCAGTTACTTTATCTCTCTTGTTTACTGTACTGCCTCGGCTGTTTATTGCCTGTCTGTTTTGTAAAGTGACTGTCAGTATCCGCCATTGTCTGGTATTGCTGCTCATGAGGACGTTCATAATTATGTGCACGGCCGTGCACGTGCCGCTCAGCGCTCTTTGTAAAACCGGCGAGCGTTAACATTATGTTTACTGTCCCTCCATCATTAAGAACCTGTGTCCTAGTAAAAGACTACTGCATAAACTGAAGTGATGCAGCGACGGTCAGACTCACATTATCCTCTGTTCTATTTGCACGGCTGCCTGGGAGCCTAAAAGCCGTCATAAATTATCCTGTTATTTGGGTCAAACCTCTGTTAGTAAGCATGTGGCTGATTTAGAGCCCCACCTGCCTACACGTAGCTCTGTGGTATATTTATATATGTGAGTGCATTACAAGCACAAATGCACAAGCAAATGCTCTGTTGTGAAGGCGTGCAATGAATTTCATATCCAACCGAGTAGGACAAAGAAATAGCAGGAGAGAAAGGACGGAGAGAATTGTTTCATTGTATGAACAGACCACAAGTAGCGTTTGACCCGGCACGGCCTCCATCTTTTGGTTACACACGTCTCGTGTGGTCAAACATCAAGTGTTTCTTGGTCCGTGTGGTTCTAGATTATTGTGGTCTGTGATCTACGGTGGCACATTGTTTTTCGTCTGTGAAGATGTTCCGTTTGCGTTTAAAGTCATTCCAACTGCAAAAGGTTCTTTCCATTCCTATGTGAAAAAATGAGAGACCAATATATCTTAACATAGTGGGGAAGCAACTCTTTCTTGGAGGCCACAGAGCAGTGATTGATTCGTCTTAGGGGAGAAAGTTAAGTCTGCTCATGGTGGTTTTGATTAACATTTTCAATCCGCAGTATACACACAGCATGTAGTTTCAGTGAGATATTTTCAGAGAAATAATTATTAAAGTTCATTTCTAACTACGGAAAATAGAATTTACAGTGTTACTACTGAAAGATCTGTTTTACTTAACAATTTCACAAAAAGTCTACTTAATAAACTAACTAACAGATACAGTATACAATCCTGTTATTTTAACAATATTGTGTTTTATTTAAGGCAGAAATAGCTGATGAAGAGAACCAATGGCATGTTGAAGGAGAGCATGAGTCTTCAGAGTAGAGCCATTTTGTTTTGAACAATAACTTTTGACAAACAGCGGATTATATTTTCATTTGATGGTGTATGCAATTATGTCAAACGCTGCCAATCTTCGCCATCCATTGGATCTAGAAATCATTTCAGAATTCATGGATCAAACAAACCCGATAAAACTCCCCTCAGCTCCTGGAGGTGGTTGCCGTGGTTTCCAGGCTCATCCCTGTTAAATCAAAGCGTGATTGGTGAGCTCGCAATTGAAGAGCTAGGTTTGATTATACGAAATAGAGAACAAACATAAACACATATTTGGTTTGAAAGACAACTCATGACTCTTCTCCACGTATACACTTGTTCAGGCAACAGGCACTGGAAATCATGCAACGCACTGCAATCAGCTGTCACGTACGGAGTTCCTAATGGGATTTCACAGTAGGGCAGAACGAGGCCTGCAGACTTTGGAGTGGAGAGACATTAGCAGTTTCTTTCACTTGAATAAGGCGCTAACACCCATATGCTACTGAGTGCTGCAAAGATATCTGTTCATGTAGTTTATAGACCAACAGATCTGGTCTCGATAAAATTGCTCTATATTTAGTTTTCTCTGTCGATGGAGAGCGAGATTTGGACGCGAGCTTAGTTAGTGTTTGGTCTCGTGTCAGCCACTAGCAGTTCAGCGTGTCATGTCTGCCAACAGTAATGGCCACATCTGTAGAGGGTTATGTGGTCAATATTAGCTCAGTTCCTCCAACCTCCTCCAAGTCTTTATTCACCATGTTTTTCCAAATTCAAACACTATTTATTCTCCTCTGATTCTAATCATCTACTTCTGCTCCATTTTGTAATCTTTAACAGATTTTAGGCGGTGACAGCTGTCCAAAACAGAGAGGAGTTCTGGCTGATTCCCTTCTTCTGCTTACCTTTTTATACTTGGGTCTACCTGTAGATATACATTTTTACAATTATATACTGTATATATACAATCGTGCTTTCAGGGACATTGTGCAGGTTAACTAGAGATTTTCAAGCACAATGTTGAACGGCAGAAAAGAAAATATCCGACTGCTATCCAAAGCTTCCTGCCAAAGCAAAACCCCACAGACTTCTCGCACGGCTATATAGAATCCTACAACCCATGAAGAAATATAGGAAACGAGGCAAGACACCCGGAAGAGAAGGTTTCCATGTTCTCAAACAGAGCTATTCTGCTGTCAAACATTACACTTTACTTTATTAATTTAACATGCATGATATAAAGATTTAAAATGACGGAAGAAAGAATAAAGAAAAAAACTATTGGACTTGTTCACTAATCTTTTTTTTCTTTTCTTTAATTTCCCATTGCCTTCACTGATGTATATACAAACTCAACCTAACTGTGAGCCAATAGATCTTGAAACAATGGCAAGAGTTGTGCCCACATACCACAGGACCCAAGTGTGTTATCTTTATTGTCGTTTCACCGTTCTTCACTCGTTTTTGTATTAACCGTCCCAACAAAAAATTGCACGGATAAAATCACAGTTCTGTCAACATCCATTTTCCTGTTCCAATGCCTGCACAAGACACACACAAATACACAGGGACACCACAATGCAGACACACACCCTGGGTGGCGTCTCATTCCTGTGGCTGATGAGAGCAGGCATGATGGGAGTGAGGCATGTAATGTGATTTATGGAGCTGGGCTCACTTTTCAAATTCAATCAGGAACTTTGATTACTGATGAAAATTTGAGACAGGAAATCGCTTTGATAGCAAACTAAAACCTCATGAGACAGAATAGCACTGGTGTGTGTGTGTGTGTGTCTGTGTGCGTTTGTCTGTGTGCGTGTGCACGCGGTGAAACGCTAAGCCCGTCTGAACTCGGCCATATTTGATTAGAGAGGACACATTCAATGCAATCAAGAGCGACAAAGCAGGAACTCCAGCCAATTGGACCAATGACTGATGAAATCTTTCCCTTCGGTTTGTTTGGTCTGCTTGTTTCGGTACTCAAACCGCTCTCTCACATGTGCATTGCTTTTGGTCTCACAAGCATCATGAACACACAGATTACATTCATACGACTATGGACAGAAACACACGTATACGCGCACACACATGGCTGACCCTTAGGTCATGGTGGATCTATGGCTGTTTGGTCCCCTGTGTTTTTTGTAATGTCTGCTGTTGCACATGAGGGGACACTCAAACACACACCCGACAGCATGACAGAGGGGCCCAATTACCATTCCCATGGGAGAGGAGGAGAGTGTGTGTGGCGTGCAGAGAGCGCGGAGAAGAGGAACATGGAGAAAGGCATAGATGGAGTGAGTTACAGAGTGCTTATGCATGTATGTGATGGAAAATGACAGGCTCATCAGTCACCAATGGCCTTTTAAAGTGTTATCCGTAAGGACACCTGACCTTTTCACGTGATGCCAATAGCAGCTGCATGATGAATCAATCGCCAAAGCCCCCGTCTTTGAGTGCCCTCCACGTTATCCAGAGTAAGTATGTGGGAGGCACCTGGACACAGAAGCCAGAAGTTATGGATTGGCTTGTAATGGTGAGAGAAAGCCAAGTGGCTGTAGCAGTGACACGGAATGAGGCGACGGTCTTCAAAGAGAGTACCGCATGTGCAGAAAACTTCTGCATGGATGGGCTCATGGATGGAGGTGGTGGACATTCAAAAAGCTATGAGAAGTAGAAGGTCAGAGAACCAGCCATGACCTTTCTGTCTGTGTGGATTGGATAGAGGAGAAAACACGGGGACGCACAAGGCCATCAGAGAGATTAACACGAGGCTGTATGAGGCTGTAGATATTAAAAAAATGGAGAAAAGGGGCCTTAAATTTGTCGTACGTCTCGTGTGCATGCGTGTTTGCGAGCAAGAGAGGGAGAGACGGATGGAGCGCGGGATCGGGGGATATAGAGCCTAATATGATGGGGTAAATGAGGTGTAATGGCAATAACATGGAGTGACAGCAACTACACCAGTGCATTATGGGGTTAACCAAGGCCAGGAGTCACTGACCTTCTCCTTCCCCCTCCCCCGAGACAGAATTATCTCTCAGTAAGGAACAAACACACACACACACACACACACACACACACACAAATACACTGATAATGAAGATGTGGTCGCAGGGTGGCCATATTTTGCCATTTAAGAATATTAGGATGGAAATTTCCCCAACGCTATCACCATTCGAGCAGAGCTGGGTAAAAATGAGAATTTCCCAGTCATGCACTGATTTTGTGCAAGACTGGTCAGACACTCAGCAAAACAAAATTAAATACCTACAGGCTCTGTTACACGGCGAAAAATAATTAAGCGGGGGCTTCATAACACTTTAATTTAGCATTGGCATATTCTGTGAGTCCCAGTGTAAATATACTGTTGGGTCATGCATGTGGCTAAGCGTGTGTCTGTGTGTTTGTGTGTATGTGTGTGTCTGAGAGAAAGGAAAAAAGGCATTTATGAAATAAAAAGACACTGCAGGCTTCAGGTGAGAAATTAGAAATATTAGCATATTTATTACAGCAACATGAAAGACATTAGGATGCCTGTACCCTTTATAACAAGCAACGCTGAGGAAACTAGAATGCTGACAAATAAGCATTGTACGGTGGCCAAAGGAAGGGGGGGGGGAGGGATGAATGAGGGTCACTCTTTAACACTCACAATACAGACCTGGCGGGGTACTGAGGACACATGGTTTTGCGTATAAGTAAATCAAACCTTACCTAGGGTGAATAGTGAGCGTATGATCTCGACATTATTCAAATGTTTGACGTGGGAGTGTTGAATATGTTTTAAAGCGATATTGTTGCATCTCACCTGTTTTTTTGGAGTGATACTTAAAATTGTCTTGTTCTAATCCTGACATTGTAACAGACAATTTGCCAGTGAAAATCATTTTTGCAAGCAAATGTAGCCTATTATATTGTTATTCAACCTATAATCAAATTGAATGTCTTATGACTCAATGAAAATAAGTAGAAACAATCAATTTCTGGAATCACCTTTTACAGGTGAAAACCTTTTAAGATTTATGATACGACATATTGACTTTGTTCTGCTTCGAGGAATCAAAGAGAAGGTCTTTTTGAAGAAAGGGTCTCTGGGATGTTACATGTAATCTTAAGAACACAGATAAATAATACCTGTACATATACTTTACTCTTAATATCGCCTCTATAGGGCAACAGTGAATAAGGCATCTAAAAGGCCGGCGGTCAAGAGTAGTCCGCCAGAGTGAAATCATGGAGTTAGCAAGAGTAGAATGTAGTTTCATACTCTCCGAATTAAATTACATTTTTATTGTATTTGCAAACAATAAGGCTGAAAAAATACAAACGCCTCATAGTGGTTGAAATGTTCACTCTTTGACCCACTGAGGCTGCCCACAAGTTATGGCCCCCTCGGAAACAGTTGCTAAGCTTTTTGCTGTCGATTGGCACGTTGAGAGATGCAAAAGTCTCAAATTATTTTTTAAATCCTTGATTTCTGACAAGCATAGACAAAAAAAACTTCAAGTTTTTGGACATTAACATAATTTCATCCTGGCTAAAATCGACCAGTGTCAAAAACATATTTGATAGCTGTAGCTAGCTAAGCTATCTAAGCTTACTTTAGCTCCATGAGTTCCATTTTTTTAGTGTTTCCTGCTAACTTGTTTTAAATTGAAAACCCTGTACAAAAAGGTTAAAGAGGGGTCACACTTTAATTATCAACAACACGGCCCATTTTTAACATTTCAAGGGAAAAGGCTTTTAGTATGAAAACCAACCAATGTGCTTGGTACATGAAGCGCCATCTCCTTGGCTGTTGGCTGCTCTGCTATAAACCTAAAGAATCCAATAATAGGTTTCAACAACAGCCGACCTTGACAGTAACTCTTAAAGCATCAAATACCAGCTTCAAGTGAGGGGAGGGGGGGATGCAAGCGGTTGAAGAACTACTTGTGCTCTTTTGCCCGTGCATATTGGTTTCTGAAATGCTGAAAAAAGTTGCCACCTTCCAAAGTCTTTCTATGCCAAGTACATGCAACTTGCTCCAGCACGCGGATGTGATTGAAAGGTCTTCTGTTCCTAGCTACGATTGCCAACCTGTGATTGGACCCCTCCCCCAAAAAATGTGTTTTTGGGGAGGGGTTCAGCGCTAATTTGATCTATGGAAATGTCTAATCTCTGACCCTTCACTTCCATCCTTGCAGTGGTAACCTTTGTATGTAAGCATTCTTTTTTAAGGACACAGGCTTAAAAAGTGCATGTCATTACTGTTTAAGGGGGGTATGCAAATTACGCTAGAGTATCAACAAGGGAAGTTCATTCTACTCATTCTAACGATACGGTAGAGCTGCAGTCACTGCCACCTGTCAATCAAAGCTGACGCTCCGCACCATGCTACATTCCTTTGTTCATACCAACAAATCCCCTCCCTTCACTTTTCTCCTGTGTAACCTGCTCCTGAACGAGAGCTTCAGAAATCTCTTTCACAATAAAAGGACATCATAGTCATCATCATTGTTGTCATTACAAACATTCTAACATTTTAAATCAACGCTGTACATATTTTACACTATAATACAATAATATATACTGTACCTTTTGCCACTGTTGGTCCTATGGAGTACCACATAAATTATAATTGGGTTTGGGAATACACTAAAGCAGGTTTAGTGTGATAAATGCAGAGCACAAGAGGGTCCCAATATATCTAACTTTGTATTTAATGCGATAAGCAGCAGTTTCCCTTTGATAAGGGAAAAAACAAAAACAAACCAATTGGTTTATATTTGCTGTAAACAGGGTTGTAAATTTAGCGTTTCAGCGATGGTTTGAAACTTGGGTAGCTTGAAATAGGCTGGCATGACAGGTAACAAGTAATTAGGACCAAACAAGTCACACAAATCAACTTTCTTTATAAAGTAAAATGTACCCTCTTGTGTTGGCTCGGAGTAAAATCAACGCTGGGGAAATGCTGGAAAAAGGGTGTATTCAGAGGCTCCTTCTCATCAAGCAGACCATTTTAACAAAACACTGCATTTACTGTGGCTGGCCTCATATTACCATCCAGCCATAGGAACTGATGAAAGGACGGAGTACTGTATAAATTATGCTAAATTGCCCAGGTGAACATTTCAAGGTTACTTTACTTGGCACAACACTGGAAAAAACATGGTAGACATTCTTAACTGTGTCGACTCTATGATGAGCGTGGCATCCCCTTCCCTCCACACAAAAACACTAGAACTTTCTTAACACACCTGAAACGTGGGACGGTTAACTTTTGGACTTGAAATATTCCAGACATCATCACACTGTAACGGCTGAATAAACAATGTTGTTTGGAATACACAGTCACTTATGGAAGAAGAAAAACGAGCCTGTGATAACTGCAGCTGACTGTTTCCGTTGCACTTTGATACATCACGAGCGCAGGCAGACAAGCAAAGGTGCACAGGGTCTAGTTGCAATGGAAGTGGGTCTTAGAGCCGTCTCTGGAGAAGCCCTTGTCCTGGTTAAATACACAATTTAAAAGGACTACTACTTCAATCCTACATGAGCTAATAAAATGGAGATACCGCTCTGTCTCTAAAAGGTCCAGTTTTTCTGTTACCCTCAACCTACACATTCATGTCATTCGTAATCTCTGCTCATTTATTGGCTTTCTGTATACAATGGAGGGGGCCATACATTTACTAGGGAAGAACCCCTGTTAAGGTTGAGCAATATAAACCTCACCACCAATACAAACATTAGGTCCATCTCTACGGTTGTGGCACACACAGCCCATATAAACATATATCTACACATATACATTTCTTCTGACCCTTTTTAAGCTCTTAGAACGGAAAACAAAAGGACAGTTAAAAAATTAAAAAATGTACACCTCACAGACATTGATGATCATTATATTCTAACTTTTTTTGTGTCACTTTTTTTGTTAACATTTTTTTTTCTCTTTGTTGAGCTGATATGTGGTGAAATGTTCTGCGGTGGACGCGTGTCTCTCTGCTGCTCTGTAACGGTGCCGGTGTTGCTCGGACTTTGAGTGCCAAAGCCCATGGAGGATGGGAAGAACGGTGAAGCTGCGAGAGGGTGAAGGAGGCGAGCGTCCATGTTGTCTCTGTCTCGGTGTATCTCGAAACCAGTGAAGGCCCGAGCTCAGAGTATCCATCACGACTCCTATTCAGTGGGGAAACTCCAATACAGGAGCCTCCGTTTTCAGCTCTGTCGCACTGTGTGTTTCTGAGGGAAATTGTTATACTTGGACGTGCGTCCCCTGGCTCTGCAGGTTCTCCACGCTAGACAAAATCTTCTTCTGGTGCCCGGCAAGAGTCACACCCATCTTAGCCAATTCACTACAAGGAAGAAAGAAAAACAGTATTTCATTCAACACAAATCAACAATCGTCATTTTCTCTCAAATACCAAGCCTCTGCCGATGTCCAAGATAAAAAAATACCCTTATTTAATTTGAAAAGACACTCAAGTGGCGTGTACTATGTCTTTTAATGTCGATGTTGACCTATTGAGGGCTTCATTTAACTGGGATGAGTCACCAGCCATTTGTACCTGACACTGATGTAGAGGATTGAGTCCAAGCTGACATATCCAGCACTGGAAAAGTTCTCCTTATACTGGCCCATCTTGATGGCCTCCAACCACTCATCCACTGTGTTCACACTGAGCTCTGGGGTGGACGGGTCCTCCCTGCTGGGATACAAAGCACACTCACGACTCAATGAAACGTGGTCCTGTTGAGTGGCTACAGTAAGTAATAGTAGTCGATTGGTGCCGAAATCCACTACTTGTTCGGAGCTGTTATTGAGTCCAATTGAGTCAGGGGCATTCATAAGAATTCAAAGCGTAAGCAGCACACAAGAGGAGCCAGTTAGTGTTCGTGGTGCTCTGTCTGCATTTGGACCTAAACACAACAAATACAGTCGGACAGACTCAATTCCTCTGCGAAAAGAAACTACAAACCCTAAAGTAACCAACCCATTAGTGGGTAAGTATGCTTGATGATCCATCCCCTCGTCTCCCGTATAAACACACAGACTCTATTACTTGTTGATTTGCTTTCTATTGCTATTTGTGTTTATTCATGTGCATTCTCAAACTTGGTGAATACCTTGAAAATGTGGTACCAGTTGAATCTGCAGTAACATGCGATAAGCACTTACATACTGTACATACAGTATATGCTTCGGTTAAAGTCTATAAGGCCTGCGTATGAGACTTCTCTCTGGTCTTCAGAGTGCAGGATTTTGTTAGTCGCTCTCTTCGGTTGTCTTTTCAGTTGTGCTGGGATTATATTTTTTATCTTTTATAAAGGGTCTTCTTTCGTCTTTGACACACGATGTATGCTGGCCTGCTTCTTAACATCAGTTAAATGATATCCTGTGGTTGTGTGCATGAATGTGAAACCGACCACCCTGGTTTCCTACCTTTCCTTTAACAAATACTGCTTTTCTGAGATAACAGAAGAAAGGGATCTTGAGGGCAAAAACGGACAAAGTAGATTTACAAGGTAGATCTAAAGCAGTGATTATGTCTTCTCTATGAATGTACCGTCCTATAAACTAATCCACGCTTTTGCCAGACTGCTTGCATGTGTGTGAGTGAGTGAGTGAGCTGAATTCAGGATTTAAAAGCCCGGCTTTCCCCCACTGACCATGCTGAGCTGTTGGCCAGCTCTCTGAGGCTGGCTGGGTTTCTGATGAGCTTGTCCAGGATTGTGACAATCTGTCCAAACTTTGGCCTGTCGCTGCGTCCCTTCTCCCAGCAGTCCAGCATGAGCTGGTGCAACACAACGGGACAGTCCATGGGAGCGGGAAGGCGGTAACCTTCATCTATTGCTTTGATCACCTGTAGCGAGAGAATCCGGTTCCAGATCAATACAAGAGAATGAAAAGGTCCTGGAAATGGAATTCTTAAAGGTAACAATTGAGCTACAGATCAAGGAATACATAGTGGTCACTGTGTAAGTGTAAGTGTTTGTGACTCACATCCTGGTTGGACATCTCCCAGTAGGGTCTCTCTCCGTATGAAATCACCTCCCACATGACGATGCCGTAACTCCACACATCGCTGGCAGAAGTGAACTTCCTGTAGGCGATGGCCTCCGGAGCCGTCCATCTGATGGGGATCTTCCCTCCCTAGAGGTGGTTCACAACACATTCGTAGCGTATTGAATATGTCACCCTGAACTTGCTGTTTTGCGGCGCTGCTGCCTATAAGAACAAAGCAGGTGAGACTATACACTAATTCAGACCACCCACTCCATCATTAATCTGCCCACAACACAGAGGGTACGTTTGCGCCAGCGTTTATGCTTGCAATTGACTTTCTTATGCCATCTTTTTTCTTCTATTGCCTTTGTTGTTGATGCACAGATCAAACAGATTCCACAAAGCCCACTGAATGGACGGAATGGGCGGTAAGATCCGCACACCATCTCTCTCTCTCTCACATCCACCCACAAACACAAAGCTCTGTGTGCTTTTTAAAATGCAGCCACTGCCTCTGCACCGCCCAGCATTTCCCATCCCTGCTTGGTCAAAGTCAAATGAAAGACAAAGCTGCCAAGTCACTCGGCACTGTACTTTTGTTTCCAGCACCCCAAGTCCGCCCCTTCTCCTTCCTCTTTTTTCTTCTTCTTCTCTTAACTGCTCTCGCTGGATCCTTCGCCTGCCTTCCCTTATTCTCTCTCGCTCTCTTTCTCTCAGCCTCCCCTCGATCTCAGTCTTATTTGATATCCTCTCTCTCTCTCTCTCTCTCTCTCTCTCTCTGTGTGCCTCTTCCCCATCTCCGCCTCAGCCTCACGCCTGCAGCTCTCCATCTCGGTCTCCTGACACCAGTGTGTGTGTGTGTGTGTGTGTGTGTGTGATTGCAATAGAGCAGTCAGCGGCTGATACGCTCCTCCCAGGGCAATGCTAATGCCATATTAAAAATAACATCCACAACACTTCCTATGAATTTGAATAATGCCATCTCCTCATGGGCATTTTACTCCGCAGTGGTTTAACTCACTGACGTTTGAGTTACTTCATTCTCTCTGTTCTCTGTAGGAGGATTGGGATTACCAAGAGACTTTTCTACACGCATGCAAAAAATGCAGGTTTGCGTGTACGCATACATCCGTTGTGCGAACACCATATCATCAGATGCCTCTCATGGCCTCGTAGACAACTTCACCAGTTTGAAAAACCGTCTGCATTGTAGTAAAGTTTTAGGGCGCTATCGTAACCATCCACAGCGCATGGAAGTGCATGGCTTAAGTCCATTTAGGGGGCGCGGTCCCTGTAGTTAGCCAGCCCATAATAATAAAGCGCAAGAGGCAAAGGAGGTTATATTAGGCCTCTTAATTAATCACTGGTGCGTTTTGGGCGTAACATGAATTAAACCAATCAGATGGTCGTCTCCCATTACCTTTTATAGCCGGATGCGCCTGCACTCGGCACATTGCCAGTAAGAATGCAGACTTGCCAAATTGGAGAAGCAAGCCGTCTTTCTACTAAGGACACAGATTTGCTCTAGCGAGAAGGGAACGTTCGCTGAGAGACTCTCTACCAGAGCAGTGAACCCTCCTCCTGTTCCGTCTTGCAATAAGCTGCCCCACCAACTGCTGCAATATCCTGCGACTACGCTGATAACCTGATCAACTCAAGAGGAACTGTGTGCGCGACAGGCAGGGAGTATGCGTGAGACCGCAAATGATCGGAATAAGGCACCATCTAAATAGCGGTAAAACTACTCCAGCGATCACCTCAGGCCAAGTTATAGTCGGACAACGGCGCAATTTGCTTTCTGCTTCCTCAAGAAAGCATGGGCAATAAAACGGCCGCGGTCTGAATGTAGCAATGACAGTTGCGCTGTGCACCGGGTGTAGGACAAGCCCCTAAAAGCCTTGCCTAGTAGTGCAGAGATGTTTTTCGAGCCCTCACAGGTGCACTCAGTTCCTAAGCTGTAATAACTGAGACCTTACGTATCCTTATTGGATGGTTGTTTTCTCCCAATTCTTCAATCTTGGAAAGCAACGTACTTAATTTCCTGAGCAAAGTGTTTCCATGCATAATTTTCAATTAGATATTTAAAGTTGTACCAGATCTGCTTTCCACACATTTAGTTTGAAGTGCCTGTGCTTTTTGCTGTGGGAATCAATGCCAGCATAATTGGTTTATGCAGGTTGTCACTCCCTCCATGTCCTGGATCATTTCCATAAACTTTCCCAACTGCTTCATTTCACACTTTGCGGCCAAGTTTAGAGGCTCGACTGCAGCGCAAGAGCCAGAAATATTATTCAGAGGTTCTGTGCACATTTAAGAGCGACCAGCTGTGCCTCCGGTGCTCGTGTTTGTATGTGTGAATGTTGAGAGCACCAAATGGATACGCGGCAACTTGCTGTCCGCTCTGATCACACGGTGTGTGAGAGTGGCCTGCCAAGTAGAAAATGACACGTATTGCTCTTCTTCTTTGGGTTTGTTTGAGTCGTTGGCTACGTTTAGGATCATGTCTGATTATTCTCACGTCCTTTTCAGATCAACTCAATCTAACAACATACAGGTCGATGGGTGAACTGTAATTGGAGGTAACGTTGGTTTGTGACTGAGGGTGTCTCACCCTCGTAGTGTAGGCGGCCTCTGGGTCGTCCTCCAGAACTCGACTCAGGCCAAAGTCGGACACTTTACACACCAGGTTGCTGTTGACCAGGATGTTCCGAGCCGCCAGGTCTCGGTGAACGTAGCTCATGTCCGACAGGTACTTCATGCCGGAGGCGATGCCGCGCAGCATGCCGACCAGCTGGATCACCGTGAACTGGCCGTCATGTTTCTGTGTGTGGAGACATGGAGAGAGACAGAGAGATTAATTAATACACAGCACAAGGTAAATGCTGACGGTGAGCCACAACATGGGGGGCATGGTGATCAGGACCAAGTCCTGCAACAACCTCAGCAGGAAGTGAAAGCTCAAGCCGGGATCATACCATCTGTAATAGCAGCAATCTGTGCTTTTGTCTCTAAGCTACACTAAAGCTCATCCAGCTCTTGCTAACTCAGGCTTCGACCTCCCTTTGCAAGTGGCAAATAAAAGGTGAATCCCTCCACCCGGCGATCAATGGAGAATTCCCCAGAAGAAAATCCTGTTTCCAGATTGGATCATATCTGATAAAGCAGTCAAAAGTAGCCTCCCGGACACTGACCTCGTATGCAAGCAGAGCTCACTGGATTTCATATCTGAGCCGCGTTTGGCAGAGCCTGCTGATCGATGACGGTCCTGCTCACCTTCCTCCGCCAATTATTTCTGCCCCGGGCCAACGGCCCCCGTTTAAAAGCCATCCATGTTATCAGTCACCCCCTCTCCTTTACATCGTCTCTCCTTCCCTCTGTGTCTTTGTTCCCTCCATCCATCTCTGTCTGTCCTCAGTCACTGTCCCAGAGAGGGAGAGAGAACTCTGTATTACTTTGAGTCCGTCTCCATCTATCCATCTCCACTCATCTTTCTACATCTGTGCCCCCCCCCCTCACCCCTCAACACTCGCCCACCCCCCCTCTACTTTCTCTACGTTCTTTCTCGCTCACTCGCTGGGCAGCTGTGGAGTAAGTTAATTAGCTGGTGGTTTTGTGAGATGCTGATTGATTGGACTGTCTAACAAACCTACAGACTTCCTCTATCAATCTTCCCACCGCATTGCATTGCCAGGAAGGCGGAGGGAGGGTGGGCAGAGAGGGGAAAGGGAGCGCAGACAAATGCAGGGCAGACAGGTGGGACAAGTGGATGAAGGAGATGGATGAGAAAGGTGACGATGGAAAATGAGACTTTCGGGCAGATTCTGGCATAATATTTCATTTTTACCACAAAAAAACTAAGGAGGAAACAAACACTACGGAAAAGCATTGAAAGGCCGCTGGAGGTTTTCTATATTTCTGAGGGACGACTGCTTAATAAACGGTCATCGTAATTAAAGACACATATGGATGCCAGGAGCACGGATGAGTTGTAAAACCCATAAAATTCCATAATTATATTGAGCAACTGCGAACACACTTTACGACCCGCATTACAACACAACATGCATGTGCCGTATGTGTGTACGTGCCGTCTTGCGTGTGCGTGTTTCAGGCCATTTTTTCTCTGTCAGATTCCATTTCATTTTGCCTCAGTGTTGCTGATGGGACTGGTGTCTATTTAGCAATGGGCCCATCATCACAGACTTTATGGCTTTAGAGCACTGCAGTGATTTTACTGGCTCACAAGCAGTTCTGAATATGAATCAGGGGGACTGTCAATGTGAGGCACATCAGGGCTGCAACAAGCCATTCATCTGGGTGTATGTAAAAAACCCAATTTATGGCTCCGTGGCTAAATCAATACTGCTATGTATGCTACAGATGAGTCCTCAAACGCACATTTATCAACATTTCAAACGTTATGTGCTTGTCTTCCGCGTCTGCAATGTCATCCATACTTTTGTGGATATAATTGACATGAGAAATACTCCAAAATCATCCGTCAACTATGAGGAGGTAGGTTTAGATTTTGTGAGTTAATCCGCTTGTAGGTTTGTGAATTGTGTGGCCTTGAGGACTCATTTGTTAAAAACATCAATTGCTGTAATGACATATTGAGTGACAGGCTCCTCTAACTCTTGTCATAATGTCAATTTCAAACGCAATACCTCCAAAGCCACCCTTTGATTTTTTACATTCTGTCCCCAATAAGGAATTCAGCATTAATCATCAGTTAGATTTGCTTTTCCAGCCATTTTAAAATGCTATTTGAAGTCTATGAACTCCTTTTTTTGTCAGTCTCTTCCATGAGATAATTTTCACATTAAGATAAATGTCTTTAGTTGTATTTCTTTACTCATTTTTTACTCTGTTCATTCATATTTTTCTGGAGCTTAGACCATGATAACTTTCACATAAAATGGTATTTATAGTCTATTATAAATATTACAGATGCCATTTATACTTCTACTTTTGCAAAATTGTGATTCCTTTTTCATTACTGGTTGTATTGCGTGTATTTTAGAGGGTGTGACACTGAATACAGTACATTCCTACTGTGGTGATGTTGATAAAACAAATTTGGTTGAGCTTAAATTCTGTTCATTTTAGAGACTTGGGTCCTCAGTGGTAAACTTTTATTACTGAATAATATAAAAGACATCTTCTGTTTTCATCTATTCTCAAAGGATATGCCCTCAAGGACAGCAATTTGGAGGAGCGAAGCTACAATGTTCATTCATTTCCCACATGGCCTTGGTAAAGGCGTCCGGACCGGGCCTTGGAGCAGATTTGTGAGTTGTGTTCCTTCCAGCTGAGCTGTGTGACTCACCTTGAGAAAAGTATCCAGAGATCCGTTTTCCATGAACTCCGTTATGATCATCACTGGTTTACCTACGGAGGCACATAACAAGGCAGCTGTTATTGGGGCACGGTTACAAGGAAGAAAGACACCAACTATAAAGAGACGCAGAAGTAGTCGAGTCCACAGCTGTGACCCCCTCCCTCTGTCTCTCCGCCTCTCTCCAGGGGATAACATGGCATGTCGTCATCAGTCACACTGACAGCTTCTAATCAGGCTCTCCATAAACGCCAGGAGATAATTGGAATGGACCAATCCTCTAGAATGAGTGTGTGTGTGTGTGTGTGTGTGTGTGTGTGTGTGTTATGGGGCCTCCTGAGATCTCGTGAATACTAATCAGGATCAAGGGGAAGGGGGTTGTGGTTGGATCGCGACGTGCACCTGCACGAGTGCGTGTTTGTGTGATGAAGAGCTGGTTGACTGACAGGCCACTGTGCACCGTGGTCCCCCGCACGCCATCCGCCGGGGCTTACAAATGATGAACAAAGTACCTGCAATCACATGTACACAGGCACACGCCCGTTACCCCGAAAAACAACGGTAGTCTGCGTTGCACGGGGCTCCTACCAACCCCCCCTTTGCAGCAGAGCCGTGGCAACAAACACACAGTGTGCAAATGACGGCCTGTGACTGCGCGTGTGCAGGGCTGGTAGACGCAAAGCGCACGTCAGTTTTTTTCTTTTTATCCCAATGCCACATAACTCCATCAAATTCTAAATTTGAATTTTGAAATGAATTGAATTACATTGGAAAATATATTACCAGTAATTAAATCAAGAGTTAAAGAGTGTAACACAAATTAAAAGATAAAAGAGGGAAGAGATGGATGGATGGGACAAGCGAGAAGGGAAGTAGAGAAGACAGAAGGAAAGGAAAGAAAGGAGGAAACGAGAGGGGAGAAAAAGAGGGAGAGGAAAGGAAAGGAGGAGGGGTCCAATGCTTGTCGTGGAAAGACAACACCACCGAGACCTACAGTGAGATTGTAGGTAAAGACAGCAATACATCACCTTAAATGAATTCACTATCTCACTGCAGCAAACACACACACACACACACACAAACACAAACAGTCGCCTGGTCTCTGGTGGTGGTGTCTTTTCTGACAGTAACATTAGTCTCAGGGATAAAAGTGAAATAGAATTGGATTTTCTTGTGCTGGGGGTGAGGACTGCTGGTCACATTTATCTCCACACGGGGCCTGTGCTGTGTGTGGTGTGTCACTCCGTGTGTGCGTGCGTGTGCATGTGACAGAGCTGGTTTCAGGGCACGACAAGTGGATTTGGGGGGGATGACCGTCTGATTTTAGCCGTGATCCGGGGGGCGGAGGACATAAGTGTGCTTTTGTGTGTGTGTTTGACACAGCTACAGATAAAACTGTTGATGGGATATATCCTGACTGAAAGGAGGTCTGGCTTCACAGCCTTCTGTCCACCAAGGGAGGCGTGTGTGTGTGTGTGTGTGTCCGCCTGCACAGGTGTGTGTGTGTGGTTGGTTGGGTCTAAGACCCTGTGAGACCATATAGGTTACCAGTAAAGGAGGATATTACTTTCGGGGACACGGTGTTACAAGAGAGAAGCCCGATGAAAGCCATTCATCCCGTTGTGTCGGCTTAGAGGTCCGTGTTAGCTTAGCACGTCATTTACACACACACACACACACACACAAACACATATAAGGACAAACACTGCTATCACACCTGTCATACAGAATCACCCCTGCAATGCTGAAAGATAACAGAGGTTACTAATAAAACAGAACACACGCACACGCTAACTATTAGCTCATTCTGTCCCTTTCTGTTAAGAGGCAGCACAAACAGACGCACACACTCGACGACAAAATGAACCCCTTCCAGTGCTTTCAGCTACTTCATCACATGCCATCCTCCTTTCACACACACACACACACACACACACACACACACACACACACACACACACACACAGGCAGGCAGGACGGAGCCTCTTCAACTAAACTCGGAGCTCCTCACTGAAAAAAACACATTTTTGAGCGCTCTGCAATTTCCTCCTGAAAGCACATAATTAACTAATCACATTCACATTCATTCAAACGTACAGCCTTCCTTCACCTTTAGAAATATCGCAGCCGAAATATCGCAGCTAGAATCCCAGTGTGTTTGCGTGTGTACCGATTGAGTATCGATGCCCTGCCGGGGGAAGTGTGTTATTGAAAGATCTTCATTAAGTGAAAGACGAAAGTCTGGTCCCTGCTTTCCTCCGGATAGAGCATGGATTATTTAGGCCTCACTTGTGTGTCATTTGTGAATTGGTGTGTTTGTGTGTGTGTGCAATAATGGAGTCTATACAGTAAATCTAGTAAATGACATTATGAGCGACGTGCGTGTGCGTGTGTGTGTGTGTGTGTGTGTGTGTGTGCGGGTGCAAACAAAAGTGATGCAGTGTGTGTTTACATCTGGACAATCACATTATCAGCGGCTACCTGTGTTTGCGCCAGTGGGGCCGCATTACCGCGTTATTGGATGAGACGGCCCCAGGTACAAACGAGAAAATTAAATAACTGCTGTACTGATTAATGTTTAAGGCTCTGGACTAAGTGATACGATGCTTTTAACACGGGGACAGATGAGAGGTTGCAGGGGTGAGGAGAGACAGTGAGACAGAAACTCAATAACCTTATCTGCACCCCTCTCCTCACCTCTCTCACCCCCTCTTTTGCGTTCCATCCCCTACGAATAACTGAAGTTTGGACCTTCTAATCTCGCCGCTCCGCTCGCCTCCCCCGGCTCATACTTCCTCTCACATCTTTCCCCACTTGCTTTGGTCTGAATTGCTTTTCAAACGCCACTTCTGCATTGCTTGCTTCTGTGGTCCCATGCCATCCGTAACCTCACGTTCTCGAGGCGTTCCCGGTCGCGTTGTCTACCCTTATTCTTACATTCCCCCCCCTGTTTTCTCCTACTTCGTAGTTTGTCCCCGACGGCGCCAATTCTCTAGATCTGGATACGTATTCAGAACATGAATATCCTCAAACGCTCCGTCACGGAAGAATGAAACACGTATTATTCTGGAACAAGACACACAGTTAAAACTAATCACTAGTTTCTTCAAACAAGAAGACGGATTGAGAAAACGGTTTTGATTGCACCTTTTCAGCTCTGTATGTGTGTGTGTGGAAGGGGGGTGGGAGGGGGGACAAGGGCGACGGGGGGGGTATGTGGGCAGATGAGATGGAGCTCGGTAATTGAGGGTTTTCCAAATGAGCCGATTGTCGCAGCGATTGTAAAACACATAAAGGATAGATGGATAAAATGAGGGACAGGGAGATGAGGGGAAGATAAGGGAATGGAGGGGGGAGGGAGGGGAGGCGTGCGCTGCGCTTTCCTGATGTGTAGAGAGACAGATAGAGAAAGGAATGACCTTTTTTTTTTTTTCCTCCATTTCCGCGTGTGGCGCTGTAATTAGCATGACAATAGCAACAATCAGGTGACAGACAGCCGAGTGGGTTATTAACGTGGCACATGGCAAAGGCTGAGGGCTTATGAGGGTTAGGCAGAAAAAAAACAGTAATGAAAAAAAGGAGAATTCAGACAGTCGCAATAAACGCAAACACAATGCAAAACACAGCTGTGCAAAATTCAACAAAAAAGAACAACACTGTAACCATCCGTGATTACTGCTACTACTTCTATAATGCTGTAACTTTAGACCATCATTAATGATAGCCATCATTCAAAAGTGCTCCATCTCAAATGTGCTTATTCGCTCCCTTCGCCTGGAGTCAGATGATGATGAGCTCATGTCTGGCCGTTAAATGCGAAGCTACAGCCAGTAGCTGATTAGCTTAATCTTATCACAAAGGCGAGTGACGGACGCGTAGCTCAAGGTCTCTGCACGTCACACTCTGTTTGTTTAGCGCGCACGCACTGCGACCTTGGTCGCAGCCAGGTTAGCTGTCCCCCCTTTAACTGAAGTCCTTATGCAAAGTTGAGCCAACAGTGTCGGGGCTGCAGATGGATACGAGAGTTACATTCTCATCCGAAACAACTCTCATCAATGAGTATATTTCAGAGGTCATTTACCATTTTTCTTGTCTGATATCCTCACATCCAAACTTTCATGAGATTCTTTCTACTGCCGTTCGTTCTACTGTGACACAGCTATACTTCCGCTCTAGCATAACTGTGACAACTAGTACCACTTTGACTAATAGCACTCCTATAACTTCTTCTGCCCCTCCTTATACCTATAAAAAACGATCCAGCACACCTGAGCCCGGAGCAGTCAGGGTCAGCCTTGCTGATTGGGCCGAGGCCGGGGGTGAAGGAACCAGCTGGTGCTGGAGAATAAGGGCTGAAGGAATTATTGACCCACTCACCCCCCTCGCACCCTGGGCTGCGACCTGTGAAACGACTGCTGCGCTGGTTGTATTTGTTTCTGAGGAGCTCTATCAGCTTCCCAATGTGCCGTGAAGACGAGTGAGATGAGTCTCACAAAAAGAAGTTCATGGACGCTCGTTAGATTCCCGCCCCGCAAAAAAACAGCAAACACAAACGCGTCTATTCATAAAAAGTGCCTGATTATGTTAAAGTTTCCTGTTAAGCCAATCATTCAGCAGAACATCTCAAGGATTTGGACTCGGTCTTGAATTTATTCTGGTATGTTTAATCAGAATGGCTGGTGCCATTGAAAAGAAAGTGTTAGTTGCTGTAGTTCTTTTTCAAACGGCCTCAATCAACTGTTTCAAAGGTGCAAAAGTCAGAGTTAACAGAGAGAGAGAGAGAGAGAGAATAAGAAATGTGGTTCACTTTCTTATGAATTCTGCTGAATATTCATGAGGCCAAAATCACATCCAATTAACTTTATGGATTATTAATATTCATGATAAAAGCCTATGCATATGCATTTGCTCTTTTATTGTTGGCCTAAGTGCCACTGAGCACCGGTGTGTGTGATGGACTCGAGATCTTTGTGTGTGTGTGTGACAGAGGGGGTTCGGGGGGGACTAGACTAGCAGAGGGGGGGGGGGGGGTATTTTATTTGTCTGACTAAGTCTCTCTTCCTATTGCTTGTCTGTTGATCTCCACGAAACGTCTGCATCAAAAGGCGTCAGCCCAGAGGGGGATTCTTTAAACACTGTTTCAATGCGGTTCTAATGGAATACTCCCCATTTAGTTGCTATTATTTTACACATTATTCAGTACACTGCCATCAAATCCAGAACACAGATATCGCAGATTACAAATGCTATCGGTTAATCAGGAGCTCGTATGGCGTAATCAATTGAAATCATGATGTCTGTGTTGGAGATCATATTTTTTGAGATTTTAAGTAAAGGATCATATAATTGGTTAGAGATAACCATTTGCTATTGATGTATCACTCCAAAATGATGAGAACCAGGGCAGACACACCATCCACAATAACAGTTTGGTCATGAAGCTGGAGATACCCAGCAGCAAGGCTTTCCTCCATGCTTTTCGGCAGTGAAGGGCTCATGGGGATTTGCATCAACGGACACCATCGGCCTAAACCACAGAGCAAATTCTGCTTCTAGTAGGTCCAAAACTGAGAGAAATAAACGTGATGCCATATCTATCCTGCTTAGTGTTGACATTGACATCTGGGTTTGAGCGAGGGGAGAAAAAAAGAAGAAAAAACAGGAGAGAAGTGTGGAGCGCTTGAATGAAAAGATTAGACGCTAACTGGGAGGTACGAGACGAGAGAGAGATGGACAGACTGATTGAGAACGAGGCCAGGCGACAACAAATCGCATATCTTGCTGAAACAGGCCTACGTCTGTGTCTCACAAACACACACACACACACACACACACACACACAAACTCGCTCTAATTGCACAACATCATCACGTGACACAAGACGAGTGGCTGCATGAGAAGCGGGCCGCTGCCGTTCACATGCACAGCGCCATGTGTCATCAAAGTGTTGCCACGGCCAGTTTTAAATCTGGCCCACCAGCAGCTTTGTGAGAGACAAACTGCAGTGTGTGGTTATTGAACCAAACGCGTCACTCACATTTTGTCACGACGCCCTCCAGCCTGATGATGTTTGGGTGGTCAAACTGTCCCATGATGGAGGCCTCGGACAGGAAGTCCTTCCTCTGTTTGTCAGAGTATCCCGCCTTCAGGCTCTTGATGGCCACGTAGATCTCCCTCTTTCCCTGAACACGCAGCCGACCACTGCAAACCTCCCCAAACTCTCCTACACACACACACACAAAAAGACGATAGTGATTAGGATTTTGGTTAAGATGTTACCTTTTTTTTTGAGTTATTTAAAATAGTCAACTGCTGTTTTGCTGCCAACTCACCAGCTCCAATGACTCTCTCTATGCGAATGTTGGAAGCATCGATCTCTTTGGCAAAGTCTCGGACAGCCTGGTTGGGGTCTTCGTAGGTGTGAGGATGGATGTAGATCCTACTGCCTGGCAGCTTGACTGCGTGAGCGTGAAGAAAGGAAAATGTGCTGATTTTCTCGTTGAATGTACCGTAATAGTTTATTTGTCCCTCTGGGGAATGGGATCCTCGAGGAATTTCTAGCCAGCAGTTTGAATGCATGTTAGAATGGATGCTTAAATGTGGGTACATCGTTTGAGTGACATTGATAACTAGGATATAATTAAACATGCAACTACTTTGCCAGCAATGGTGTTAAAATGACTCATTACTTTTAACAGGAACTCATAAGGAGTTCACCTTTGCCAGCAAACCTTTACGCAAGAGTGTTAAACCACTTGGTTTACTACATGTTTTATTGTTATATTTTTCACATGATTAGACACTGAAACATGCACATTTATGATATCCATAGACATATAGATATTATGTGTGTGTGTCTGTGTCTTTACCTCGGCCATGTTGGAACTGCATCTTCTCTTCATCAGGGTCCTGCTTGGCTTTGATGTATCCACAGTGCCTGCAAGAGAAATGCACAGCTGCTTTATGATCGTGTATATTCTGTACACCTATATTATATATACGGATGCTTAAATAGCTGCGCACCCGTGGAAGCCCTAGAGTGTTAATGTGCAATACCACACAGGGGATGAAATGAAATATCTCCAGCTAGAACCGGCCCATGAAGCAAGTAGCGGTGAACTAGATAGCCACTCCTCTGAGACTAGTCTGCAGGAAACTAATTGTTCCTCTTTTTCTCCGTGTTTACCTGCCGATTCTAACCTGAGGTTGAGTGATTGTGCGCGTGCATGTGTGTGTGTGTGTGTGTGTGTGTGCGTGTGTGTGTGTGCATGCAGCACGTCCATATGGAGACAGATCTATGCGTAATGCACACTACTTTTACCCATCACCCAAACAGAAATACACACCTCTATGCACTTTAACCCCCCCCCCAACCCCTTTTAAACGGCCCAACCCCAGCGTGCACGCAGACACCCTGCTGGGGGGGAAGAGAGGGGGGCGGTCCAACGATCAAGACAAAGTATTGACAAAATTGATCAACTCAGTCCCACCGTTCAGCTGTCGGGAAGTGTTTAACTTACTCTTGTTACAGACCTCAGTGGGGGGGGGGTGTTTGGTGTATGGGACAAAAAACATAAAAGCAGTTTCATAGAACCGGCAGCGATACGCAACATAAACGCAGCCTCCTCGTCGCCCCTCCGTTCCCTTCTTGTCCAATGACGCTTTATAGTTAAGCAGGTAAAGCAGCAAGCAGTCAGTACGTCTGTCTGTTATGGACATGGATTGATTCGGGCTCAGGGCCAGCAGTAACTGGAAATCAGAGGAGAGAGGGAGGCTAAAACATATTACACAGATTTAACGAAGAAAAGGAGGGGGGGGGGCGAAGAGAGGTAAGATGAAGACAAATAAATAAATAAATAAAGAGATTAAAAAAAAGCAGGGCAGATCTGAAATCACGCAGCAGCAGAAATGGAGGGACGTGGGGTCTCACTGGGCTCAGCAAATCTCAGTCATTTGGTGTTTAATCCCTGTGTTGATTTAACACAGCTGAATGCATGGTGTAACCCAGACATCAATAGGCTCTCCTGGGAATGCCCACACTCACGCACACACATTAGGGTAGAGACTGGTTGCTGGTATTTGGGGATAAAGTGGAGGGGGCTTAACGTTTTCTGGGCCCCACCTGCTTATCAGCTGGGCTCAAGCCAGTCAAACACCAAAGGGACCATCATTACCCCCCTGACGCACACTGACACACACACACACACACACACACACACACACACACACACACACACACACACACACACACACATAAACACAGAGCCTGGGGGCATGTGTATTGAGCATATGGGGAACGGGGGACATGGGTCACACCTCTGCTCCAACTGTGATAATCCTGTGAGGGCCAATGCCCCCCCACACACCCACCTCCCACACACACACTCACACACACACACACACACACACACTTCCCCATCAGTGCTGGATGTGAATCTGTGTGCGTGTGTCTCCACGGGTGCACGGCTGCATATGTGAGTGTTTGTGTCTGATGGGAAATGAACACATTTCCATAGTAATTACAGAGCGACTCATTTCTCCTCTTCAGTTAGATGTGTCATGAATCATTAGTGCTGCAGTCTCAAACGTGCCACAAGACATGACAAGGCTCCGGCTTCTGTTGCCCCCGACCCCCCCCACACACACCCGCCCCCCCCCGACAGCTGCGGCGCTGGGTGTGTTTCAAATAGATATTTTATTATCTACAACTTAATGCAATCGACCAGTAATTAATCTATAAGAAAGTGGAGAAGTGGACTCACAAGGACAATGTTAATACTTGCAGTACAAAAACAACATAACAGATATGAGTCTATTCCAAGTAGAAACAATTAGGCTGCTTATCCCGCATCACCTCAGCATCTCACTTTTCCTATCAACATACATCTCATTGGAAAATCTACTTAAGTGTGAAGTTTTCGGTTTGAAAAAGCTTGCAGTCGCAGTTACACATCTCAAACGTCAACCCTGACACGCTGTTGTTATTTAGCTAGAATATAAAGAGCGAGAATGGAATCAGGCGATGCTAAACCCCTGAGCAGCTTGGGCTTAAGACACTTGAGAGGCCTCACAGCTGACCTCAGTCTCCTCTGTTCTTCCACATGCTACCGTAGTTTACACTGGTGCCCCGAGGCCCAGCGCTGCATGCACAGCAGTTACAGCTGATGATGTCACCCTGACAGACATCGTCATTGCATGAGTCGCCCTGCAGTTGCCGTTCAGGTTAACACGGTTAGCCTCATGTTCCTTGTTAAGTTTATTTCAGCTTTAGTTCACAATACATTTCATTGTGAATCTTTATTCATGTGTGATACTGTTTTTGGTTATTTAGTCCACTCTTTAAATGAAACCTGGCATGTAGGACACTGTGTGAAAGTACTGAAATCAAAGTGAAAGAAGTTTCCTGGATTGCTTCAAATAAAAACACCCTCTGTGCTTGTAATCCAGGCAACCACCAGCGCGTTTCTGCCAAAATGTATTGGGCACGGCAAGTTAGTTGTGAGCGTATTTTGGCTTTAGTTTTGTCCAAATAGCAGAAGACCGGTTGACCGCGGAGCCGTTTCAAGCAGCTAGTTGACTACTATACATTTGGATGCAGGATTTCACTTTATAATACGAACGTTCGGACTCGAAGCTGCAAGAGACATTTTTGGATGAGATCGTCCTCCTCCACCAACTTGCTGCCGTTTGGAGTCAGCATGTGTCACTGTGGGAGGAGACGTCCACCCTTTTAGCTGCCACTTAATCTCACCACTCTGCTGTTCCAAACAGCTGTGTATTCATGCATGTTTAAGGTACACACACACACACACACGGGACAATTGCAAAAAAAAATCAAAAACACAAAAAAGCGTACACACGCCTTAATGGAGTGCGATATCACAACCAGGCTCTCACCTTCCTCTTCTCCTCTCTGTTCCACTTCAGTGAGGACAACAGGCTATCCCCGTCCTCCAAAGCCACACGCTCCACATTTGCATATCAATTTACTTTTTAATATAATACTCTGTCACTCGAGACCCATTTGTCATTCCGCTAGCAAGCTTCCACCTTCATAGAACATCATCCATATATTATTGTAGCCATTGCCCCTCCCCTGTTTTCCTCTCCATGGCAGTGCTTTATCTCTCTCTCTTCCTCCTTAATGTTCCTTTAAGAAAAACGTCTTCTTCCTCTTCCACGTCCTCTTTTTCTTCCCCTTTATTTTCTCCTATACCATTTATTCCCCCCACATCGGCGGGGGAAGTTCTGTGCTGCTTTTTTTTTTATTAATAGAAAAAAGGGGGAAAGTGGGAACTGGAAAAAGAAACAAAGGGAAAGGTGGAGAGGGAGATGGAGATAGAAAAAGAGTGCTGACAGGGAGAGAACGCACAATGGGGGTCCAAGCCTGCATACCAACTAACAAGCAATCAGATGGAGGGGGGTGGGTGAGGAGAGATGGTGAGGCAGCTATATAGAAACTTGAAGGAAGTGGACAGAAACAGGGGGCGGCGTTGTGTGCTGCACCAGCAGGGGCTGAAGATGGAAAGGGAAGTACACATATTTAGAGAGGACAGAGCGCTACGTTGAGTTTAAGTAGGTAAAACAAAAGTCACAAAAGACAAGAAGGGGGGTGTCTGGCTACACGTGCAGGGGAGAAGATGAATTACGGTGGGATGGAGCCCTTGAACAGGAGGCTTAAGAGCAACACTCTGCACATAGTAAAAGAGAGGTTCAGGGGTCGTACACATGCCGTTTTTTTGCACCCGACGTAATGTTTTGTTTTGCCATGCAGATGCGCTGAGGGCGCGAACAAAAGCGGGAGCCGCTGCCGTGACCCGGGATCAAAAATAGTTCAAGTTTTGGAATGCATGCGATAAGGAACAAGTGGATGATATCTTTTTCTTTTCTTTTCTTCCTTAAATATCAGTTCACCGTACATTTATGGAAGAAATCTCTTTCAGGGCCGGTCATGAGGAAGTCCCTTTCTGCCAGAAGAGGCCACAGTGACGCAGACAAAACCAGCCGTACTGTGAGGGATTTGTCTCCGTTTAGCTTAGTGAGCTTAGAGTTTACTGCTAAATCACCTGCTCACTTTTTCACTGGCATCGCAACATGCAGGGTTTCTAGATTTTATAAACCTTTAAGATGATTATACAAAGTGCAACAAAGCTGCACCCTGCTTTCTGATATGGTCACTTTTAATGCTAAGTGTTCATTTATTGGTCAACTGAGCCTCAAGTTAAATTTCTGCGTCTGTTCCCAGTCGGCTAAACTCTATAAAGAGGGCAAGATAACATCTCTGGCACTGAGCTGCACTGATTCATGTCTCTTATAATAATCAAAAACAGCACTCTTATGCTGTTAATTCAGTTTGCTGGGGCTACTAAAGCTTGAAAGAGCAGTGTGGAATTAAGCGATAACCTCTCACTGATTAACAGGGTGGTAATTACAACACACAAATTGTACAGTACAGCTACTGTGTTCTGATATTTAAATCTGTAACAGTCTGCCGGTCACAATAGTTTCCTTTTGAATAGTGTCTGCTGAGCCCCTAGAGTCTATTCATCTAAATCAGACTGAACAATACTCAAATCTATGAAGGTGAGAGGGTGTGAAGCAGAGTAATTGAGAAAAAATAAAAATGACAAGCGAGACAAAGATGGCTGCAAAGAGGAGATCAAACAAGGGAGGTATTTTGCAGGACAGAACAAAAATCGTTCTTATTCATTAAAGGCAGGAAGAGGTCCAAGACAAGAAGTCGATATGGATGTCTTAATCACCCTAAAACAAAGTCGGACAAAAGAAGACGGTGGCGTCTCGGTGACAGAAGGAGAGATGAGTGATGCGAGAGAAAGAGGCCGATTGTCTTTATGGGAGTGAATGACCTTGGACTAATTTTAACTCTGAGGTAATAGAGTGTGTGGATTTCTTTGCCCCGCGTGGCGTCGCATAGGG